CCCGCCGTCCACACTTGCGTATCCTTCTTCTTCGTGTTCTTCTTCTTCTTCTTCTTCGTGTCCTTCTTCTTCTCCTTGTCATTCTTCTCCTCCTTCCTGCCCGTTGCGTGCGTCTCCGCCCTCTGCTTCTTGTGCGCCTTCGTCTGCGATCGGGTCTGAGCTTGCTTGCCTGCCTCGCGCTCTGGGTGCCACGGGGGGACTCTTGGGCAAGCTGCATGCTTGTATGGCTGTGCTTGCTGATCCCCTTGAAGACCCGCTTGCCTGTCCGCGTGCTCGTGTTGTTCATGACCCTTGCTCGCGCTGGGACGCAGTGTTGATGTGGGTCCGTGTCCTGGTACGAGGGCGGCTGTAGGATGCTGCAGTTGTCCGGAATCGGCGCCAGCGTCTGCTCCCAGCCGTCGAGGCACACCAGTACGCAGAAGAAGGCGACGGCACCGGCGACTCCATCGCCGGTTGCCCGGATGTGCCAGTCAATGGCTGTTGACAGGCTAGTCCTCTCAGCTGAGTCATATCATTGACCTCCCTTATTGACGATACCACAATTTACATTCACCTCTGTTGTGTTCTGGAATGCTCTGTTTCTTTCTGTTCGAGTGTTCATTCATCCTACATCCTTGTTTGCTTCACAACTCAAGTAAACACACACACACACACTGTTGTATCTTGTGTATTGTCGAACGACTAAACGAAATGAACCACAAAGCACAATGCAGTACACCTGCAGAAGACAGGAAAGCAAAAGAAGCAGAAGAAATGAAGACATCATTACGTAGCAACAATCCATACGTCACCGTCATTCGTGCACACACGATATCTAAGCAACACTCCCAGTCTCTACTGCTATCACACACACACCTCCCTCTTGTCAAGCCAATCTCCCACACAACACGCAGCACACACAGCACACACAGCACACACACACAAGTCTCCAACAACAGCCACGATAATGAACATGCAACACCCACTGCATGTGTCAAATTTAGAGTTGCAACGCGTGGAAGCAGCCATTTTTCAGCAACATGTACAACAACAAAATTAATTGGGGCAACATGACACAGCAGACTTCAGGCCGTTGTTTAAGACAGCTGCTAGGGACAAGCGACGCAGGCGGACTGAAGGGAAAGATCTGTGACTTAATGTTCACCGACAACGATCATCAGCTATGAACAAGTAACCACGGAGGCTTGCAGCCGAAGCGATTTATAGGACACACACCTCAAAATAGGCTGCTTGGCGCGAGAGCAAGCAGCCACTCTCCTTTTCAACGCACGGACGCGGCATGAAAGGTGACAGATAAGCGATACAGTTCTGTGTATTTAGTCCACGCACATCAAGATCACACCCGACCAACGTTTACACACCACACGAACCACAAAAACTGCACAAACGCGAGAGCACGCAGCGGGGAAAGTAACAGGCCTGCCCGCACGAGCAGCCAATACACATATGACGGTGGAAACCAAAAGGCTGTTAGACACGTGAGATCGGCAAGGCAAGCACAAAGTGCATATGGGCACAACATACACAGGAAAGTCACACACACACAGACAGACAGACAGACAGACAGACAGACGTTGTTCAGTATCCTGGTACTTCTCCGTCATCTGCGGTGTCGTCTGGCTTTTCGACGTGATCGCGCCATTGATGGCGGCATTGGCAACAAACGTAGAACAGTTGCATGTTCGACTGGGCGTTTGGAAAAGCGTTCAGCACGCGCACAATGGCCATGAGCGAGTCGAAACAAAGAAAATGGTGACGAAGCAAGTGGAAAGAAGCATCAACAGCAGCAGCAGATACGATCACACACACACACACACGCAGAGTTGACGAGACAACATAAGCCACACACACACATCCCCCCCCCCCACACACACAGGAACACACACCTTTTCGCGGTTGACTTGGGCCTGGAAGTACACGGCGTCCTCATGTGCGCACTGCGGGCACGGCTTGGAGCGGGAGTGTGGGAGCGTCGGGTCCGCAATCACGTCCGGGTTCATGCGCGTTAAGCTCCTGCACAACCACACAGCGGACAAGAAGGGCGGCAGTGCAACGCGTGTCAATCACAGGCAAGGGGGAAGGCATCCCGCAACCTTGACGCGATGCCAATACGAAACGCATGTGGGCAGGCTCATCCACGCAAACACCACGACGCGGACATGACATCACATCACACAGCACCAACGAATGACACATGTACACAGGCGGTCGCAGACACCCACACCCACACCCACACCCACACCCACCCACACCCACACCCACACACCCACAGACACACGCACGCACACACTCACTCGATATCCTCGCTGATGTTGTTGACATACACGCAGAATGCGTTTGCCCTCTCCACCTCATTCTGACAGCTGCGACACTGCAAATCATCATTATCAATCGCACAGGCACAGATACACACGTGTGACGGCAGTAGTGAGCAGGTGTGTTTACATGTGCGTGGTGGCAGGCACGAGATGCGTTTGCTGTGTGAATGGTCGTCACCTTGAAGACGAGGCGGGTTCGGTCGGCGCTCTCCGCAGGATGCAGCATGTTGTTGCTGTGCGCAAATGCAAGCACATGGGACGTGAGGAGGGAAGGCAACGTGAAGCGGGGAACCACTAATGGAAGGACAGAACATGCGCAGTAGCACGTGATGGAAATGTACCGGTGACAAGCAAGCAATCATCAGAGGCGTGCAGAGAGCGGCGCGACGCGCACAGGCAGGCAGAGATAGAAAAGAAGAAGGAGAAAGAGAAAGAAAGAGGAGAAAGAGAAAGAGAAAGAGAAAGAGAAAGAGAGAGAGGAGAAAGAGAAAGAGAGGCACACAGGCACACACACACACACACACACACACACAGACACAGACACACACCATTCACTGCAGAAGTCGATGCCAACGTGTCGAGGGATGGACGTTCGGTTCTTGAGTTTGTATGCAAGCTCCTCCAGGTCAACGTATTCTTGCTCGTTGTGGCACACGAACCCTGGTAAACAAGAAACAGTGGCACTGAGAACCAGGAATATCTCCGGGAGGGTTCACGCAAGCAAGCAAGCTTACATACAGCCTAGGCATGAAGGCTGATGGCCAGAGAGGCGGGCAGACACAGCACAGCCACAGACAAAGACACACGCACACACACACACACACACACAGGTACAGACAAAGACACACAGGTACAGACAAAGACACACACAGACACACAGACACGCACACACTTGCACAGACACACGCACGCACCTTCCATAATGCTCTCGAAGGAGGCACTGGCGAGGATGTTCCTGATGAGTGGGTCGCCCTCTTCATATGCGATCAAGCCAAGCTCGTCCAGCCGCTCCGTGTCATACGGCGCAGTCTGCAAGCGGTGCCCATCATGGGCGGGAAAGTAGGAAGAGGGTAGCACAAACCGTGGCAGGACATGTTGAGCACTGCGCACGCACGGGCATACAGGTACAGACACAGAGGCACAGACAGACAGGCAGACACACAAACAGACAGACAGACAGGCAGACACACAAACAGACAGACAGACAGGCAGACACACAAACAGACAGACAGACAGGCAGACACACAAACAGACAGACAGACAGACAGACAGACAGACAGACAGACAGACAGACACACAGACCGACACACAGACACACACACCGACAGACACACAGACAGACAGACAGACACACAGACACACAGACACACACATACAAACACACACACACATACACACACACAGACACACAGACACACAGACGCACGTCATGTTGGCGGTCTGGTTCAGGTTCGTTGCAGAAGTTGATGAGCGCTTCCACAGCTGGAGATGTGGCGGCCATGCTCTGTCGTTCTTGTGCTCTGTCGGTGGTGGTGCGGTTAATGGCGATTGATGAATGATTTCCATCAACTTTCAGCAATGCAGAGGGCGACAAGCAGCGGAAGCA